TACTTTAAGTTTTAAAAAGCCATAAACCTTCAGTTCAAATGTGTTCAGTTTCATTCCTGAATCCCATCTATCTGCTATTTTTTCATCTTCTGTGACTGTTGTTAGAGACTTGGTAACAAGACTACTCCAAAACAATTTGTAATACTTTTTAGATATGTTACATGCTTTAGAAGCATGTATCAATGAATACCTCTGTGTATTTACCAAAAATCAAATCCCACTGAATTCAGTGTGACATATTTCCAAGTAATTGAACACATGAAATTGCCTTATACGGAATCAGACTCTTGGTCCATCAAACTCAGTACTGTCTACTCAGACCAGCAGTGGCTCTCCAGGGTCTCAGGCAGAGGTCTTTCACATCACCTACTGCCAGATCTTTTAACTGGAGATACTGTTGATCGAACCTGGGACCTTCTGCATGCCAAGCACAGGCTCTTTCACTGAGCCACATCCTCTCCTAGTATTTAGGATTGGGCTGTAAATCTTTAATAGTCTCCTAATATAAATGATATATGGGTCAACATGGCCAAAATACTAGATACAACAGAGGGTTGTTTCTGTTGCTTCTGTTCTGTTCAAAATAGTAAATGAGGTTAAACATAAAAGCACATTACTGAAAATTTTCAATTTCAGATTTATCAAAAATATTAACTGAATGGTGAATGTTAGAAAGTTTCAAATCTTATATGGAAGTACACAGATGTATCAGCAAACCTATACAGTTGCATCCATCCACCTGTTCTATTATTTTTTTCACAGGAAAGTGTACTTGTTACCACAGCTTTCTGTGATAGCATTAACAATCTATTAGGCCTATCAATGAAGTTATTTTCTTATCTTGGTAGTACTTACTGGAGTCAAAGATAGACTAACGAAAGGCTAAAGCAGCCTCTACAACTGCTCGACACAATGGAAAGGACCCCCTTCCCCCCCCTCCCAAGTTGAAAGTGGGGTTTCTAAAATCCCACTACTGAGCTCTGGAGCCAGAAGAAGCAATTCCACTAACTCCACATTACAGAGTCTTATGAACAGTTCCTCTTTTCCTCTCTCAGTTGGGAGAACAGAGATAAAACCGCAAACTGTTCTGTAGATAAGAATCCTTATTCAAATCAATCTAGCCTTACTCACTGAAGCATGCAAGTAAAAGCCTGATTCTGAAAACTAAAAAGACCATTTGTGGGGGAGGAATGCCATAGTCAAGGGGCCACCACAGAGAATACCCTCTCAAAGTGGGCATCTGAAGCAGAGCCTCTGTAGAAGATCTTAATTCTCAGGCAGCTACATATGGAAGTAAGAGGTTGTTAAGCACCCTCTCACCCCAGGTCTTTTAGAGCTTTAGGGGTCAGAACTACCGCTCTGAATTGCACCTAGAACCAAACGGACAACAATTGTAGCCCTTTTAATACTAGTAAGATATGAAGACACATCATGTTTACTAGTACCCACAAATAGCCATGATGCCACAGTGTTCTGACCAAATTAAATTACCAAACTACTTTCAAAGGCAGCCCCCTGTAAAGTCCATTGTAGTAGAAACACAGCATGGATAACTACAGCCAGATCCTGCTGCACCAGGAAAGCCTGCAGCAGGCACACTGACCAAAACTGCACAAAGATGCTACATGCAAAAGATGAGACTTGCCAGAGATGAGACTTGGGCCTTCATTTGGAGTAAATTTACTAGCACCTTCAACATGCAAGCCTGCTCTTTCAGGGAACTGCAATCCTATTCAAAGGTCAACTCCTTTCCAACCCTGGTAGTACTACAAGAAGTACCAGCTTACCGGCCCTCGTACAGCCCATTACTGCCTCTGGACACCGATTCAATACAGTTACTGCCTCACTGGATTCTGCTGAAAAGGAGAAACACGGATAGATGTCATCACAAACAGATGACACCTCACTCCAAATCTCTTGATTATCTCTCCTAGCGGCCTAAAAAACACAGAGGGAAAGCAATGGAACACTGCCAGACCCCACAGCACAGATGCCAAGTGTCCAAACAGCCATCATCCAGCACCACTGACAATCATAGACCAGAACCACTGAAGCATGATGTCCAACCCCCATCTCAACCAACTGGGTAAAAAAAATAGGACAATCGATGGTATCAGAAATCCATTAGAAGTCTGCATTGCACATCTCAATGTAAAACAAGTTGCTTCTGCCAGCAGCAGACTTGGGAAAGGAGGAATGCAGTGGCAAACTGTGGCTTTGGTACTAAGCCAAGCCAGAAATGTACGGACTAGGAACTCATGTCTTGTATTATTTTTAGTGTGTGCACATGACACAGACACAATGAGCAACATGTGCATTTCACTTGTGTAACGTCAATACCCCAGAAAACAATTCCACAAATTACTATTTGGATCAGATAATATATCCATTAGGCATAAAGGGAGTGGACACTGATGGATCCAATTGAATTCCAGAATGCTCTGCAGGAATTGATGCCCCCTGGCAATTCATTAGATGACTGGCATAGCCATCTTACTGAAGCCATCAATGAAATCGCTCCCCGGCACCCTCTTCGTCCCTGATCCAAACTAGCTCCTTGGTACTCTGAGGAGCTCTGGAGGACGAATGGGACCTTAGACAGCTAGAGTGAGTTTGGCAATGGACTCGTGACAAAGCTACAAGAGCATCTTATAAGACATTTGTGAAATCCTATAAGATGGCAGTGAAGGCCACAAAGAAAGAATTTTTTGCGACCTCCACTGCATCCACTAGCTCTTGCCCGAGACAATTATTTAGGGTAATTAGGTCACTAACTTCCCTCTCAGAGGGAACTCGAAACATTTGTTGTTGTTCAGTCGCACAGTCGAGTCCGACTCTTCGCGACCCCATGGACAATCTCCCGCCAGGCTCTCCTGTCTTCCGCCGTCCTCCGAAGTTGGCTCAATTTCATGTTCGTTGCATCGATGACACTGTCTAACCATCTCATCCTTTGCCGTCCCCGTCTTCTTTGACCTTCAATCTTTCCCAGCATCAGGGTCTTTTCCAGTGAGTGCTCCCTTCTCATTTGGTGGCCAAAGTATTTGAGCTTCAGTTTCATTATCTGGCCTTCCAGGGAACAGTCAGGGTTGATTTCTTTGAGGATTGACTGATTTGTTCTTCTTGCAGTCCAAGGGACTCTCAAGAGTCTTCTCCAGCACCATAGTTCAAAAGAATCTATTCTTCGGCGCTCGGCCTTCCTTATAGTCCAACTCTCACAGCCATACATGACTACTGGGAATACCATTGCTTTGACCATGCGGACTTTTGTTGGCAGGGTGATGTCTCTACTTTTTATCATGCTGTTTAGGTTCGCCATCGCTTTCCTCCCAAGGAGCAGGCGTCTTTTAATTTCATGGCTGCAGTCACAGTCTGCGGTGATCTGGGATCCCAGGAACGTGAAGTCTCTCACTACTTCCACGACTTCCCCTTCTATTTGCCAAGGAGTGTGGCGAGGGGGCTTGCGCAGTTCAATGAATCTGTGGGCTATGCCGTGAAGGGCCACCCAAGACGGACAGGCCACAGCAGAGAACTCAGACCAAGCGTGATCCACCTGGAGAAGGAAATGGCAACCCACTCCAGTATTTTTGCCAAGAAAACCCCATGGACTCGAAACATTAGCAATCATGAAATTAGCTGCGAGGCGTTTGCAAGCTTTTCTGCAGATAGTCTTGTTGCTCTGTCGGGACCTGCCTCCCAATACTGATACAGTACAAGAACTAGAGGCCCCTTGGCCGTCTTTGGATCCGTTATTCAACCAGTTCAGCTGACTCTCACAGGCTAATGTTGACAGGATCCTGGATGCTGTGAAGCCTACCACATGCCTCTTGGACCCATGTTCATCATGGCTGGTAAAAGCTGGTGGTGATGGAACACAGGCTCCCCTGATGGACATTATAAACTTGTCTCTGAGTTTGGGGGTATTCCTGGGACGCTAAAAGAGGCAGTGGTGAGACTGCTCTTAAAGAAACCATCTTTGGATCTCACAGATCCATCCAACTACCATCCGGTTTCAAACTTACTGTTCCTGGGCAAAGTTGTTGAGAGAGTGGCAGCAGAACACCCCCATCAAGGTGGGTCAGCGCAGCTGATATTAATCGATTTGTCAGCAGCGTTTGACACAGTCTGTTGACCCCCCCACCTTGCCGATGTGGGGATTCGCGGGACAGCCTTGATGTGGTCCATGCTCCAAAGCATCCCTTGTCTTCAGGGGTACTGATCTCTGCAGTCTGGAGAGGAGCTGGAATTCCAGGGGACCTCCAGGGCCAAGCTGGAGGGTGGCATCCATAAGCGAGGGGGGCTGGCCCAGTTGCCACCTCTGTCTCTGCTCCTGGGCGGGCGGAGGTAGAAGCAGCCAGGCCATTGGGGACACCCGGCCAGACCATGTGGCTGACCTGAAATCGCCTTGATGTAGTTTGTTTCATATCTCCAGGATCAGGGACAAAGGGTAGTATTAGGGGAGAGGATCTCACCATGATACCCATTAGTATGTGGTGTCCCCCAAGAGGCAATCTTTTCCCCAATGTTATTTAACATCTTTGTGCGCCCCCTCACCCAGCTGGTGTGGAGCTTTGGTCTAGGGTGTCACTAGTATGCTGATGACACCCAGGTGTATCTGTTGATGAGTGGCCGGCAGTTGGCCAAGGGATTGGAGGCTGTGGTGGGTTGGTTGAAACACAGTTGACTGAAATTAAATCCAGCTAAGAAAGACATCTT